AAACTGGAGGCGCAGGCAGAAACCAGGCCGACAGCAGTTTTCCTGAAGGTGGACGTGGAGGCCGCCTTTCCCTCGCTGGAACGAGCGCCCGCCATAGCGGCAATGGCGGAGCGAGACGAGGTGGTCGCGACGGCTCTGCTCGCTTGGTACGGACAGCCAGCGAGGCACCTCTGGCGCGACGCCGGGGGTTTTTTCCACCCGCTTGACAACACGAAGGGCTTCGACCAGGGGGACCCGCTCTCGCCCGCGGCCTACTCCGTGGCGCAGAGAGTAGCTCTGGACGGCTTTCAGACCGAGCTGCTCCGCCTGGACCCGCAAGTGAAGCTCTACAGCTACCTGGACGACACCTACCTGGTGGTAGACGCCGCGCTGGCCGCGCTCGCCTTGGAAGCCTTCCAGCGGGCGTTCCACCCCCTCGGGCTGAAGCTGAAGCTGGCGAAGACGGCCGCCTGGTCCCCAGCCGGGCGCGCCGTGCTCACGCAGGACCTGCAGGCGAGCTGGGTGCCGAGCCTGCCTGTGTTCGGCAAGCACCTGCGGCCTACGGGAGACGCCGAGAGCAGCGCGCCCGCCGCCTTAGGGGTGCCGGCGAACAGCTTGTCCGAGGCTGGGCGGAAGCTAGAGACGCTCTGGGGGGAGCTGAAGAAGCTGCAAAAGGCCGGACTCAAGAAGCAGGCAGCGGCAGCCCTCCTGCGCGCTTACGCGGGCCCGGCGAGCCAGCACTCCTTGCGGATGGAGCTCGCCCAGGACTCCGCGACGCAGCAGTACGACGATCTGCTGACGGGCTGTTGGAGGGACCTCCTGGAACGGGACCTCGACGAAGCGGCCGTGGAGCTCCTGGGCCTCCCAGCCAGGTTTGGAGGCCTCGGCGCGCAGCTGGCGGACACGCGGCGCCAAGCGGCCTTCCTCGCCTCCTGGTCAGCCGCGGCGCAGGAGGTCGCAGAGGACCAGGGCAACGCGACGCTGGCTGACTGCCTGGAGCGGCTGCCCCGGGCGGCCCAGCAGCTGGAAACGGCGCGGCGCGGACTGCAGGGCCAGGGGCTCGAGCTCGCGCCGGGGGGGGACTTGGCGACTGCGCTGCAGACGCCCCTGAAGCAAGGCTTGGCCACGGAGAAGGCGCAAAGGACCCAGCGCGCAGCTCTGCTGCGACGCTTGCCCCCTCCCCGACAGGCCGAGCTGCGGGGCGCAGCCGGAAGCGGCAGCGCGGCCTTTCTGGCCTACCCGGAGGACGACCTCTGCTCCCTCGAAAACACGCTCTGGCAGGCAGGGACGCGGCGGCGGCTGCAGCTTCCGCGCGCCGAGCTCAGCCAGCGGAAGCTAGCGACCGCGCCGGCCGCCTGCTGCCTGCGCGCTGCCGACGGCGCTGGCTGCCACGGGGCACTAGACGACGGCGGCTACCATGCCCTGACCTGCCAGGTGGGCGGGGGCGTGGTGGCGCGACACGGGGGCCTCAACCGGAGGGTCGGGGGTCTCCTCCACCGCTGGCGCGGCGAGCGGCCCCTCGTTGAGCCGAGAGTGCCGACTTGGGACCGCCAGCACCCCGACGGCAGACTCGAGCGCGCGATCCTGGACCTGCAGTATCAGGACGACGACGGCACCCACTGGCTCGACGTCTCCGTCCGCCACCCTGCAGCCGGCACGCAGGCCGAGCTGCGGCTGGCCGCGCGCCGGGACGGCGAGGCCAGCAGGCGCGGCGAGCGGGAGAAGCACGCCCGCTACCCCGGCGACCGGCTGACGCCCTTCGTCCTCGAGGCGGGGGGGCGGCTCGGCGCCGAGGGCCGCCTCTGGCTGCTAGGGCAGGTGCGGCGCTTGCCCGAAGACGAGCAGCAGCGCGAGCTGGCGCGTGCCTACAAGGTCTTGTTCTGCGGCCTGCAGGCGGCAACAGCGCGCCAGCTCCGGAAGGCGGCCGGCTTGCGCTAGGCGGCGCGCCGCCGGCTAGCGGGCGGAGCCGCCGCGGCGGCGGCAGCAGCGCGGCTCGACACCGGTTAGCGAGGCCGCCGAGCTGACTGAAGCGCTGGCGCGGCGGGGCTAGCGCAGGGCGGCGCCGGCGACACCAGCAGCCCGTGTCGGCCCACGGGGGCCACTGGAGACGCTGGAGGGGCGAGCGGCGGCCCTGGCGCGGCGCGGAGAGCGGACGGCGACTCCCTCGCACACGGCGGCACCGGGCCCGGGGGCCCCTGCAGCTGGCCCGACTTGCCCGGCGGCGGCCACCAGCGCTGGACGGCCTCTCGGCGCGGCGCAGCTCAGCCGCAGCGCGCTGCCGGGGCGCGCGGCCGTGGCCGGTCGAGGTGCTCTATTTGGACTACCAGAGGTATCTATGGTGCTTCCGCCCTCTCATACCACCCTCTGGTGAGGGTCGCGCGGATTTTTACGAGGCTTCGACAGACTCGCCTCCTCCTCCTCCTCCTCCCCTCCTCCTCCTCCTCCTCCTCCTCCCTCCTCCTCCTCCCTCCTCCTCTCATCCTCCTCCTCTCCTCTCCTCCTCCTCCTGTCCTCCTCCTCCTCCTCCTCCTCCTCCTCCTCCTCCTCCTCCTCCTCCTCCTCCTCCTCCTCCTCCTCCTCCTCCTCCTCCTCCTCTGCCGGCCATCCCAGAAGCTACGGGCTCCGAGAATGTTTGGGGTCGAGCGCTTCGGCTGGGCGTGCTCTCGGTGCGAAATCATGTGCGCAGGGGCACCCTGAGGGCCCTGTTGGGAGAAGGGCTCTGGCAGCCAGCTCGTAAGTTCTACGCCGAGTCGGACAGGTGCCAAGTTTGCAATCAGAAGCCTGGCACGTTTGGTCACCAATGGTTTGATTGTGATAGCGTCTGGTATCAAGGCGAGCAGGAACCAGAGGTCGCGCCGCCGCTGTCTGATGATTTGTTAGAGCATCGGCAGTGGTTGAAGGACTCAGCGAAAGGACTTCCGCCCGATTTCGATTCGCTCGAGCTCGCGTACGGTCTCCCGTCGATTCCGATTGAGCTGAGTTCGGTCCCCACTGCGTTGCCAGTGTTTTCCTGGGGTGCCACTCATTTAAGTTGGGGGCGAAAGACATATACCGACGGGTCTGGCCGAGCCAACGGGGTCCCTGAAGCCACCCGCTGCGGGTGGGCGGCCGTGGAACTCTCGGCCCAAGGCTGGCCGATTCGGGCCCGCTACGGGGGCCTTGCGGGGAGGTGCCAGACGGTCCCGAGGTCCGAAAGGCAGGCCATTCTCGAGGCGCTCCGAGTGGCCCCGTGGGGAGCAGAGATTGTCTCGGACCACCTGTCCGCAGTTCGTGAAGGCTCCGAGTGGGCTGACAGTTTGCAGAGAGGTGCGAGCCGTCACGCCAGCATCTGGCGCGAGATGTTTAAGATCTATCAGGATCGGCCTGAGAGGCCGCCTTTTCGTTGGACCCCAGCCCATGGAGATCTAGATGAGGTGTTGGCCGCTGAGCCTGGATGTGAGTCGGGTGGTGCGTCTCGTGTGTTTGATCTCCTTGGGAATGCCTGCGGGATTTCTTTGCGAACTTAGGCTCTGCCCAGATCTGCGTCGCAGATGTTGCTGTGGAGGCGCTTAAGGAGCGCCTGAAGCATACTAAGCGGACGTTTGATTTCATATCCAGGGCGGCCCAGTTGGTGGCCAGTAGCAGTGTGGTCGAACCGAGGGTCGCCCAGAGGCCGAAAAAACCCACGGCCCCTCTTGTTTTGCTTTCTCATGACCTCGAGCAGGTCCCTGACGGGTCGGTCCGCTGCACATGGTGTCACTGCTCAGCGAGAACGGCCAAGGCTCGTGCTCGTTTGGAGCGGCCCGGCGCGCGGTGCGAGCCGACGGCCTTGTATCTCTGTTTGTCGGCAGTCAGGACGGAGAGGCTCGGTGGCGCCCTGCCGAGGGCGCGTTCGAGCGCCGTCCGATTGACCGTGTCGGCGCTCGGGCTTCAGGAAGAGTCGTCGTCGTCGACGTCGTCGTCGCCGCCTTTGACCCGAGCGCCTGACGTCTTCGAGTTTCAAGAGCACATGGTGCAGCCCGCAGGGCGCTACCTCGTGTGCAGGCGCTGCGGCGCCCACGTACTGATAGAGCAGCCAGCTTTCAGATCGCTGCTGCAGCCCTGTCAGGGCACTCCGACCGCGGGCCGGCTCTGGTTCCGCGACGAGGTCCTGGCTGGGCGCGAGCCTCGCTAGCTGTAGGGCTGGCGGTGCGGCCGTG